CGAAGTTGGAATCTGGGCCAAGGGCACATGCCTTGGTTGTGGGCTCGATCCCCAGTGCGGGCGTTGCAGGAGGCAGCCGATCAATGATTCTCTCTCATCATTGATGTTTCTATCTTTCTATCCTTCTCCCTTCCTCTCTGAAAATCATAAAAATATATTTTTTTAAAAAAACAAACAAAAAAAAAACACAGCATATCACTGTCAATCAGGTGAATAATATACTAGTATGTACGAAAATAAAACACCTCATCTTTTTATAACATTGATTATATTAATGCTTGCTTCTATTTAACATAATATTCTAATAGTAACATTTTTAGTAAAACCCACATCTTAGAAAAATGTAAGTTTTAGAAATAACTCAAAGATTCCTACAAATTACCAATGTTATCTATTCAGCAAAGCATCCACCCCCTTCCTTACCAGCACTGTGTCAAAGAAGTCTTCTGTGACATTAGTCAGGGATGTGTCTGAAGCTAGATCTTCCATGGTCAGAAATTCTACTGTTCTTTCAAACCAGGTAGCCATGTACACAAGAAGAAGAAACACAGATGGAACGCCCATGACTACTCCCTATTCGATAAAATTTCGTAAGATAATTCTTTCACTAGAGCAAATAATTTTAAAGACCTTTTCCCATTCCATCAGTTCCATTGGGCCTGGCTCTGAGGCCTCCATTTAGAACACTCCAGGATGATATCATACTGCTACAGAGTTGCAGTAAGTTCTCAGATACCAGCAAGAAATGGAGTAAGTTCTCAGATACCAGCAAGAAATGGTTAGACTCGGCCAGTAGCAATGCCAGAGAGGCACATGAAGGGACTAGTGAGGAGGGGTGAAGAGGTAAGTGAGCTCCCAGCACAGGAGGAGTTCCTGTCCTCTGGGAAGCTGTAGAAGACAAGCTATCCAAAGAGATGCAGAATTTGGAACGTGCTCCAGAAGTACGCATAGTACAGTACATATGCCTACACCTGGCTACATTTCTTTTGCCTTTCTTTTCCAGCTACTTGGAGATTTTTCTTTTCTACAGGCATATATATCTAAATTTATATTGCATTGCTAAGATTGGTATGATATAAAATAAACTTCTATAAACCCTCCTACAACATATTTATTCAATTAAGCAAAGGCCATTTTCACTCTTACGGAAAAAAAGAAAAAGGGAAAACCCTGCGCGCATAGTTAGAAGTTATCAGTTGAACACAAAGTCGGTGACATGAGCTCATGATGAACAGTTCTTATAGGAGTGGGGCTTGAAAGCTGTCCAATTTGGAGCCAAGAACACAAGGCACACCCGCTGAAGACCATGAACAGATCAATCAGCTCTCACCGTTGGCTGCACATTAGGGGAACCCTGGGAGCTCTGAAACACCGAAGGCCTGGGACCCATCACAGACCCAGTAAACCCGAATCTCATCATGAAAAGGGAACTCTGCTTTGCTTCCAGATGCCATTATAAGGCACCCATAATGTTACCTTCTAGTTAATTAAAAAGCAGAATAGAATTTCATAATTGGGATGACCTAAAATAAGCAAAAAATGTTTTTGCCATTTTTTTTTCTGCTTTAACTGGGATTTTTAGAAAGTTGGAAAAGTGGACTATGGCAAGGGGAAGTATTTGATAACTTATCTAGGTCCAATCTTGTTACTAACGTCTATTAAAATACTTTCAGAGCCGTTGATGGGGAAGAAGTGTGGAATAGTCTACTCCTCTCATCCTATATTCCTGAGTCAAATTCACTAAAATAATAAAAACATGTGATCACTGCATTGGTTTGTCAAGGGGAGAAGGGGGTGGTGTCTGACTCCTTGCTGTAGGCTTCCAAAGTGCCCTGTCCAGCACCTCCATCAGGAAACATATGTTGAACTCAAGTTTTGATTGGATATCTATAATAATCTATAATAATAAAAGCATAATATGCTAATTAGACCAGATGTCCTTCCAGACAACCTTCTGGATGAAGCCAGGGCTGCGAGTGAAGCCCAGGTCCTGGGTGCTAGAGGTAAGCCGGTGCCAGCAGCTGGGGGAAGGAAGGCCTACTCTTGTATGAATTTCGTGCATCGGACCTCTAGTGGGCAATAAACTTTGTTACCAATTTGTTTTCATATTTGATTTTAAAGGAACAGAAAATACCAAACTTCATGAGATAACTGAATCCACTCTAGTTCTTTAAGTTACCCAAAGCCATACAAAATTAAAACAGGACACTTATCTTTGGGATCAGTCCCTGCTGAACTAGCAAAGGCTCATCTTCTTTGAGGCCATCAATGAAGAACCGCTGAATACATTTCAGCAACAGTGAAACATACTGAAATTCATTTTTATCCAGTTCCTAGGTATGAGACCACACTAAGTTAGAAGTCTTACAGTGAAAGTTAAGAGGGTAGATTCTAAGTGTTCTCATCACAAGGAAAAATATATATATTTTAAATTTTCTTTTATTTTGTATTATATGAGATGACAGATGATAACTAAACTTACTGTGGCAATCATTTCACATCCATATATAAGTCAAATCACTATACCATATCCCTTAAACTTATACAGTGCTGTATGTTAATTACATTTAAATAAAACTGGAGGGAAAGCCTGACAAAGTATCATTACACACTGGGATTCTGGTCAGATAACAAAACAAAACAACTTACTTGCCTTATTTATAGATTTGTCAAGATGGTATAATTCAAGATGATTATATTTTTGAGGAATGTGGCTCCCTCTCTGTTGAAAATATTCTTTTATTTTCTGAAATCCTTTACCATGAAATGCATCAATAATAAGTGACTGAAGCTGGAAAGTTGATAGTTTGCAAATTACTTTTTCCCGCAAAACATTAATTTTGTAGTAACATTTGTAACTACTATTCTCAACAATAATTCAGTGTGGAAATAATAAAAGGTAACTATAAAACAGAGAGTGATATCTTAAGCAGTAAAGTCATGTAGCTAGTGAGCAAGTTCATTGGCTTAAGACAGTACAAGCCCATCTCGGAGATATTGCAGGCTCAGTTCCAGACCACCCCAATGAAGCAAGTATCACAACAAAGCCAGTCGTAACCTTTCTCCTGGTAGAAGGTATGCCTGCAGTTTCCAAATGTGGTTCCTGGACCACCAGTAGCATGGGCATCACCTGAGACTTATTAGGAATCAGGAACGCTGTGGGTGGTGTTCAGGTGATTATCATTAGGCTAAAGTTTGAGAACCACTGACTTAAGAGAAATTGCACTTGAGTTACAGATATCTGAGGGTGAAGAGTGTTGATTATCACTAATGTTAGAAATTCTAAAACACTAAAAAATTCAAGCCTAATATCACCCAAGAAACATGAATGATCATAAAAGGAAGAAAATTACTCCACTAACAATGACAGATAATGAAAGCTGACAAATATGTAAATTGCCAGGATAAAACTGATTTTTTTCTGAACATTTACCAAGACATACTTCTAAGTATACACTTGAATAATACAATTCCTTAATTATCTGTGCTACAGATATGATTTTTTTATCTTTAAAAATCCAATCCAATCCTACAGACTAAATTATAACATGTAATGTTATTTTAATAAGGAGATATTTTACCATATACTGACCAAAATTCCACTTATCCTCAGTATAGATTTAAATGGGGGGACTGCATTTGAAATTAAATATTTAAACATTATTTTCTTTATTAAGTTACCACATAGTGAACCTTTTTGTGCCAAGTGAGTTAAGTGTTCTGCAGATGTTCTCATTTAATCCTCTCCGCCACTCTGAGAGGTTTGATTCTTTATCTGGGGATAATAATAGCAAGGCTGGGGAAGGTTAAGAACTTGCACAAGATCACCCAGCTGAGATTCACACTCAGGTTCTTTGACTCAGAACCTCAGCCTTCCACCTGCTTAACACTCTGCCTGGCTTCTCTGCACTCGGAAATAACCCGAACCCTTTGCCTTGCTCTGCAGGGCTCTGCCTGGTTTGTTCTCTATCAGCTTCCTCTGCTTGCCCTCCCAGGCCTTAAGTCCTCAAATGAGTCAAACTCTTCCTTGCCTCAGGGCCTCTGCACTGGCTACTGGGGGCCTGGAACTCTTCTCCCCACAACTTTCCACCCTCCTGGCTCCTTCTCATCCCTCAAATCTCAGCTTCAGTATCCCATTTTCAGGTCTGTCTTCCAGAACCTTATCTAAAATAAGCCAAGTACCTCCCTCCACCCTTAGTCTCCATCACATACCCTGCTCCTTTTCCCCCTACGACCTTCCTTTGGTACCTGTTTCTTTGGCTCTCTGCAAGGCTGTAAGCTCCATGAGGACACACTATGTTTGCTTTGTTCCGTACTGCCTACCTACATCTAGAATAGTGCCTCGCACAAGATGGCTTGACTACCTTAGACTTATCACAAGACCCCATGATAACTGGTTGTCAGAGATTAGGGAAGGAGAAGCAGCAAAAGGTGATTTCTCTGTCTTTGGTGTGAGCAACTGGAGGAACAGTTGTTCTGAAAGCCCAGGGAACAGAGAACTAGGAAGACCACACACACATACATACACACACACACACACCA